CAAGAAGATTCCAAAAATATGTCTATCACCATAGTTAGGCAGGTAGAATAACTTTCCATCAGGTTAAGATTCTGCCTCTTACTGAAATAATTCACAGTCTTAATTAAGTAGACTTATCAAAATCTTCTGACATCTGAAATTCACAGATGACTCAATAAACTCATTTGATTCAATCTCTGTATCAAATATACTTTCTACAAAAAGTTCAAATTGCCTGAATTTACTGTTTCTTTCCTTTACTATCCAAAAGACTGCTAAAAAAACAGGATATATCATCACAAAACTAACAAAGTAGCCCATTCATAAAATTAAGCTTTTTTTAAGCACTATAACCTGAAAGTAAAGCTTACCCCTCAAAGAAGTTCCCAACATACAAGTTATTCACTCAGATTCAAGGCATTGGACAGTGCAAAGGGCTTAGACTCGAGCAGCTGGTAAACTGGGGTTTAATTTCCAGCTCTGCTTTTTACTAGCTATATGGGCAATTCACCTAACGTTTCTGAGTCTCAGTTTCTTCCTCTCTGAAACAGGATCAAACTCACTTCACAGAGTTGCTGGGAGGATTACTAAACATCTGTGAAACTCCTGGTGCAGAACAGATATTCAACAACTGTGACTTTTCTGCCTTGCTGTCTTTTCTTTTAAAAAGTGACAAAGCATAAACGAGAAGAAAAGTCTGCAAAGTGAGAAGACAGGCGGGAGTGGAAGCAAGGCCGATACCTCAGCTTGGAGGACAGATCTCAACTTATATGCTCCTTCTCAAAAGCAAAGTAAAATAGAATAGCGAGAGATGTAGAAAACTGTCTAAATTCTCTTAGCCTACTTTTTTAGGCTTGATAGACTAGTAAACTATGGTGCCTCTCCCATCCTCATCTATTCATTCGCTTGGCCAAAAATGTACTGAGTCCGGGGCCAGCCCAGTGGCGCAGTGGTTAAGTTGAGATGTTCCGCTTCTCGGCGGCCCAGGGTTCGCTGGTTCGGATCCCGGGTGCGGACATGGCACTGCTTGGCAAAAGCCATGCTGTGGTAGGTGTCCCACGTATAAAATAGAGGAAGATGGGCATGGATGTTAGCTCAGGGCCAGTCTTCCTCAGCAAAAAGAGGAAGATTGGTAGTAGTTAGCTCAGGGCTAATCTTCCTCAAAAAAAAAAAAAAAAATGTACTGAGTCCTAACTATGTGCAAGACCCTAGAGATAAAGCAGTGAACAAGAGAGAAGGATTTCCTCCATTGTAGAACTTCCAGTTTCATGAGGGAAAAAAACACCAAAAACTCTCCCCAAATTTCATATGTTGAAGTACTAACCCCCTCATACCTCAGAACGCGACCTCATTTGCAGACCGGGTTTTACAGAGGTAATCAAGCTATGAGGTCATCAGGGTGAGCCCTAATCCAGTATGACTGGTGTGTTTATAAAAGGGACACAGAGACACACAGAGAGGGAAGAGAACGAGAAGAAACACAGGGAGAAGCCAAGGAGAGAGGCCTGGAACAGATTCCCCTGTCTCAGCCTGCAGGAAGAAGCAATCCTGCTGACAGCTTGATTCTGGACTTCCAGGCTCCAGAGCTGCGACACAATACATGTCTATTGTTTGAGCCTCTCAGTCTCTGGTACTTTGTTACAGGAGCCCTAGTAAACTATTAACACACATAATTAGAAATAATTAGAAATTAATTAATTGCACAACTATTAATAACCATTGTGGCCACCTTATCAAACAGTTAAACTTTCTTATTTATTAAGAAATAGTAAATTTATTATTCTTTGCTTTATTATTACTCCTTTCCATTTATCAATTTCTAAAGTACTCGTAGAATATAAACTCCAAGAGGGTGGGCTTTTTGTCTGTCATGTTCAGTCCTGCATCCCCAGCACCTAGAAAGTATCTGGCATAGATTAAATACTCAAAAAACTTGTACTGAATAAACAAATAAAAGAGTGCTATGAAAAAGCACAAGACGACCTAAGTACACATAAAATGGAAACCTTACCCTTGCCTAGGAGATCACAGAGGGTTTTCCATGGAAATTGCAATGAAGCTGACTAAGAGTTGGGTAAGTGGATGGGGCCACAGATGCAATTAAGAGAAGGACACAATTCTAGACAAAGAGAGGAGAGGGTAACAAAGGCTCTGAAGCAGCAAAGAACTTGATAAAGGAGGTAAAAGATAACCAGAGTGGCCAGAATATAAGGAGTAAGGGAAGAGAAGAGGCTAGAGGTAGGCAAGTCCAGATACAGGAAATGGTGGATTTTATAAACTATTTTAAAGGGTACTGGAAAGTTTTTGATAATGGCAGGGGGCGGCAAGCTAGGAATAGTATGAGGAGGAGACTCACCAGTTCTACAAGACCGTCTGGTTTCTGAGTATTAGTGAATCAGGAGGGTCAAGAGTAGATGGGGATGACTAGTTAGGAAGCAATCGTGACGAGCATAGAGGCAGAGATAAGAACAAGAAAATATAGGAAATCAAAAGATATTTAGAAGACAGAGATCGACAGAATAGAATGAACTGAACACGGGCAGGTCAGGAAAGGGAAAAATGTTATGTATGAAGGATGAAGAACGAGAACAGCAAGACAGTTATTGACAACAATGCTGGAAGGCAGAAGACAATGGAAAAATCTCTTTCAAAATCTGCAGGGAGAATCTTTCCAAACTGAAATTGGACACCCAGTCAAATAATCAATCAATAGTAAAGGTACCATTTCCAGTTATGTATGGTCTCAAGAAATATTCCCCCATATATTTTTTTCCTTAGGGAGTTCCCGGAAAACGTAGTCCACCAAAACAAAGAAAGAAAAGAGGCAGATCTGGATCCTGAACTAACTGAACGGACACAGGAAGGAGGGGAGCAGAATCCCCAGAAGGTTGGTGACAGGAACTTTCAGGACAGCAGTCACAGAGGAGGCCCAAAGAGCAAGCAGAGTAGACTGAAATAGGACAATAGCAGAGGTTGGGGGTGGGTTCCTTCAGGCAAGACGTTCCTGAGAAAATAATGAGTTGAGAATCAAGGTGTTTAAATGTATTAGAAAGTGATTCACATTTCTGGTCGAAAGTTTAGAGATAAATTAATACTAGACAAATAGAAAGCCAAGCAAATAAAAGAAAATTATTAGTTATAGAAAAAATAGAATGTTTTCCTCAAAGGAACTGTAACTGTAGGGGAGGGGAAAATTAATTCTCCCTCCAATCTTCTTAGTTCTTTGCTAGGCCCCTATAACAACAGACAGATTTACAAGAGAAGAACAAACAGAAGTTTAGTAACATGTATACCCCATGAATGTATACATGGGAGATATCCAGAGAAAAATGAGTAACGCTCAGAGGAGGCTTAGAACACTGGCTCAAATACCATCTTCAGCTGGACAAAAAAAAGAAAGATGTTGGGGAGGCACCCACCTCAGAGGATGGGAGGGAGGCATAGGTAGGGGTCAGGATGCATAAAAGAGCTAATCTTCATTTTTCATATTAAAATGTCAATAGAACATTAACATGGAAAACTTAAACACCCCAAGAAATAGCAGAAAGAACAATGTTTTTATAAAAATGAAGATAATCGCCAAAACAACCAAAAGACTTGCCAGTTGTTACCTCTAGAGAATGGAGATGGAGAGAGGCTGGTGGTGGAGGAGGCAGGAAATTTTTGTTTTTTATAAGCCTTGTAGAAATATGTGATTTTTTTAAAAAACTACATGCATGCAAAACATTAATAAATATGTTTAAAAGAAGAGGAGATATCAATAGTATATTTGGAGCTTGACACTAAATCAAAATGTATTACTCAACTATAATGCTAAGCACTTAAACTTTAGGAAGTGCCTGAAAGATATGGGGGAAAAAAGTATATATTGAGGTTTATTTTGGAGCCAAATGAATTAATTTAACACGACCTATTCAGGAAGGTTAAACTCTTTAAAGATGCTTAAACAGTGGGCAATGGTTACTGCATATGTTCTTGCCTGTGCCTAATCCACATTTTTCTTAGTGCGGCGTAATTGTGCAAAGTCATCCTTTCAGTGGTTTAAATCACTTTTTCTCCATGCAAATTTTCTGGTTTCTTCTCTGTTACAGGCCTTATTTTTGCCAATTCAGTGATCATTTGATATTTTCTATCTCCTGTCTCAAGAAAAATCCCTTTGGCTTCCCAAAAATTGATCACACCATGCTTATCTTTCTAGTAGCAGAGTGCCGACATTTGCTGTTCAGCCTATGGTCCGTGAATCCTCTAGGCTCCCTCTCCCACTTTGGTAAGGCCCAGGCCACCACACCTACAGCTAGTGCCAGTGTACTTCATGCTCCCCCCAACAGATCACTGCTGAACCTGCCCTTCAAAGCTTAACAACTGGAAAAAAAACCAAAATTCTCCCAGTACAACTACAACATACCATGTATGGGATACTCATTCAACAAATATGTATTATCTATCTACTATTTGCCAGGCACTTAAATTTAAATTTAAACTAAAAACCAACCAGCCAACCAAAAAATAACAGTTACCTAATTGACAAAACAGTAATGTGCTAGCCCTGGGAAAGATCTAGACAAAGGCCATTTAAGGGAAAGAAAGTGATAAAAGTTGGGATGTTGGTAATAACTAATAAAATGAAAACTGTTTTTTGGCACAAACTTGCAAGCTATAGAAGTAGTGAAATTCTTTACAGAAGTATTGTCATTGAGCGGCTTGAGGACAGGATGGAAAGTCAGGAATGTTTCCATTTTAACCCTGTTTTCTTCTCAGAGATACTTTGAGAGCAACTAATTAATATTTGCAAAGCACTTAGTGATGAGCTCAAAGTAGTGTGTTATCACAAAACAAAAAGCATGCACAGAGTTATAAAAAAAGGTCACTATCTGAGTAAACACTGAACTAAAACTCAGTATCGAGTAATATTAACAAGAAAAGTTTGTATCAAACATTAAAAGTTTTATGTTAAAAATTACTTAAGGTGAAAAACTGCAACCCAAGTTCTTTATAAATAAAGAAAACGTCACACAACTTACGATATTTACTGTGAATTTCATCAATTTCCTTTTCTGTTTGGCCCTTTGTAAAAACCATTACCTAAAATAATTCAAAAATTCTTAATTAAAAATTCAAAAAAGACAAAAACAGAAATTAATACTAGAAACTTTAAAATCTCAAATGTGGATGTTTAAAATAGAAGAAAATTATCCCTCATCTCTGTTTTATGTAGACTTAGGAAGAACAACTCCTGTGTACCTCCCTTGAATATCATAATTAATACACATTTTATACATTACTTTTTCTCATTAGTAGGAAATGCAACACTGATTCCATTAGAAAATATGAGGTATTAACACAACAATCAAATTTCCTATTTTCAATATTTAATTTTTCACATGAGTTAATACATCAAGTAGCACTTGAAACTGCAAGAATGAAAAGGCATTTAGCAGATCATTAATAAGGGAGATCTTCTCATTGGCCTTCTATCTTTTCCACCCTAATTTCTGTAAGGCTGCTAGACAGGTAATTATATAGAGAAAATGCAGTAACACAAGACTGTACTAAATTTCTAGTTCTACTTTTTAAAATTTTCGACTTGAAAGATCAGAAATCTATTTAAATGATTCATCATAGTCTCCATCTTATAGTTAGCACACAAGTAATAATAAAACCAATGAAAATCTCATTTTTTTCTACTATCTGATTATAAACTTACTTCCCTAAGGTCATTGCTTTCCTTACAAACACATTATCGATGGTCTAGGGAAAAAAGTCTACTTGGAAGAGCCCAAAACACTTCCTCCAGTGTCAAAGGACACAATGACTATTTTCTTCTTTGGTATCCTTTCCTCAAGTTTTGAACCATCAACCTAGAGGAAGGCAACAGTGAAGAATTTTAGGTCTCTGATTCCCTCAATAAGCCCAACAGATACTCAATCCTCATAAACTCTTACAATTACTTAATTTCTCCAATAGAATTGCAGAATGCCAGAGCTAAAAGGGAATCTTAGAGATCACAGAGTTCAACCCTGAGTTTTACAGATGAAGAGCCAAAGGGCCACAGAAGTTAAACAGCTTATTGAACACAACCAGCAGAGCCAGGACCAGTAAGGCTACCTGAGAGACACAGGCTTCTTCCACTCTAACTCACTGACAGACTCTACTTTGGATTGCATTCTGTGCTAGAAGACTAATAAACATGAGAGATTTTTGTGCTAAAAGTGAGCTACAAGTAAATCATAATATATTAAATGGAAATGTGTTCCAGTACATTTCTCATTGAACAGATTTAATACTGGCTTGCTTTAATTTCAGTAGGGTATTCAACTTTTCTGTCCTTCATTTGTATCCAGATACTGAAATAGACCATCAACATACGCTTTCGTTGAGTTTACTAGCTTCAAGACGCATCCTAGTCTTCTCCATATTTTCAATTTCTTGAACTATTTCAGCAGCTGTCAAAATAAGGACATAAAGCCATTGTTAATTACATGGTTTTGCTCACTGTACTACGGTTACGTAAGCTGTTAACACTAAAGATGGGCGATGGAAATACGTGAACTCCCTGTCTTATCTCTATAATTGTTTTGTAAGTCTAAAGGGATTTCAACATAAAAGGTTAAAAAGAAACACTGAACTTTCACACATGCAAACACAGCTTAAAATATAATCAGAAGAGTTTAGTAAAGTCAATTTGCTTTTCCTTTGAGTATATAGGTATAAACAGGAGTCCCAATGGAATATGAAAATTAATTTGTTAGTGTGAATTCGATTGTTTGGAGATATCCACTCAAACTCTACTATACTAAATGTAGTACAACAGGCTACTTTTCAAGGAGAGACAAGGCCTACAAATACCAGGAGGAAATGGCCTTGCCTCCAGAACTTTTGTCAGCAGGAGTAGTTACCAATGGCATGCATCAAGGAGAGGTGGAATACACTGTCACACATATAAATATCTTTGAACGCAAATAGCATGGAATTTGCAAACGCTATCTTTCTGCCCCAAAAGCCAACACATTAAAACTAAAATACATATGGTATAGAATAAAAATCTACAATCCTTTACACAAATTTATACACAAAACGACACTATGTCTGGAATTTGCTTCAAAATAGTCCATGGGGGAAGGGGTGTAAATGACAGAGGACACAACATTAGGCCTGGGCTGATAACTTTTTAAGCTGGATAAAAGGTACATAGGGTAACTCTATACTCTTCACTCTACTTCTATATAAATTTGAAATAATTCCTATTAAAAAGTTTTTTACAAACCCACAGTCCTCAAGAGGATCACTGAAGAATGCAATTACTTCAATTTAAAGTTTATGTTTTTTGAGTACTGAGAAGTACCTTTTGCCTCCTTAATATTACAAAACTTGTAGAAACAAGGTAAACAATGTCTATCTCTGTGAGCATGAACAGCTAGCTTAAACTCACGGTGTAATGGGAATCATGGTATAACGGCAAAGCAAAGGGACCACTTGCATTCTATCTGCTCCATTAAGGCAAGTCTTATTCAACACAGAGAACATCTGCCACACTCTTCTAAGCTATTAAAGAAACTATGGTAGGAGTGGATACAATTTAGGGGCTTAAATCTTTCAGGAAAACTTCTGATTCTGTTCATGATGTAGAGAGCTGGATACAGTGTCACTCACACCCTAACAAGAAAAGGCTAATCTATAAAACTGTAACTTGTCTTGAATCCATCAGAGGTAAGGTCACAGAGCAACCAACTAGCCTGAAATCTAAGGAAAGACAGGTGCCTTAGAGGAGAGAGGAGCCATGAGCACTGGTTGACAGAAGGCAGTGCACAGGAGAAGGACGGGGACCATCCTACCTCTGGGTAAGATGATTTCGGCTAAACTTTTGATGAAGTACAAAAGGCCAAGTGTAAACCACTATGAAAGCATAAAAATCCTGAGAAGCTCAGACACAGAGGAGTCATACCTATTCCAAGGCTATTTTCTATAGACTTTATTGGGTACTCACAAGAATTACTAGGGAAAGGGCAGGAAACCAGAAAAATATCCCTCCAGGTCCAGGCCTGGGAAATGACAACAGCCCCCACTGCAGTAAAGACATGAAGCCCCACAAGATCCTTAACCCTTAAGAGACAAAAGCACTAGGCCACTGAGAGAAGGTCAGCAAAACTATAGTCCTCAGAGCACAGGTAAATTACCCACTGTTGCTGGGGAGAAGGAAACAAACGAACCAACCCTGCAGGAGAGTCAGGAAAGCACCAGAGGACCCCTGCCACTTGGGGAGGGACAGGATCATGGAGAGAGCCCCAGTCCTGAGACCTAGGATCATAGGGCTTGCCTAACACTGAGGCTAAACTAGAATAACAGAGAACCGCCCCATGCTCCCTGCCACAGAGCTAGCACGCTCCAAGTGACAAGTAAGAGTAATTGACCACTGTGGGAGAAGCAGCATGGAGAGAGACCCTGTGAAAGACACAGGCTACAGGGAAACTTAAGAGTCAGTGATACAGGGACATAGAAAAAGAAAACAACTTCTGGAAACCCAGCCACCAACCTAAGCATAAGGGATATGAAACTGGTGGTAAACTGAGGACAATCACAGCAACAACAATAAAGTCAAGTCAACCTCACACAATAAAGATCTAGCAAAAGAGGACATACCCATTTTTTAGGCAAAAATACTATTTACTTCAGTGTTAAGGTTCTCACATATAAAGTCTGGCTTTCAACCGAAATTTACAAGATACACAAACAAGCAAGCAAGCAAACAACAATAACAAAACCAAACTCAGATATCACCCAGATGTTAAAACTGTCAGAGATGGAATTTAAAATAACTATGAGTAGGGGCTGGCCTGGTGGCACAGTGGTTAAGTTCACACGCTGTGCTTTGGTGGATTGGGGTTTGCCTATTCGGATCCCAGGTGCAGACCTACATACTGCTTAGCAAGCCATGCTGTGGTAGGCATCCCACATATAAAGTAGAGGACGATGGGCACGGATGTTAGCTCAGGGCCAGTCTTCCTCAGCAAAAAAAGGAGGATTGGCAGTAGATGTTAGCTCAGGGCTGTCTTCCTCAAAAAAAATTAATAAAGTAACTATGATTAACACACTAAAATATCTAGTAGAAAAGATGAACAACATGCCTGAATAGATGGGGCATTCCAGGAGAGAGATAAAACCATCAAGAAGAATAAAATAGAAATGTTAGACATAAAAAACACATTAACAGAGATAATTTGACCCAACTAAGGAAAGAATCAGTGAACTTGAAATGGGATTGATAGTATTGCCTAGACTGAAACAGAGAGGAAAAAAAGAAGGAAGGGAAAAAAACCAGAACAGAGCATCTAAGAGCTGTGGGACAATATCAAAAGGTCTAACAAAGATCTAATAGAAATCCCAGAAGAAGAAGAAAAAAGGGAGAAGAAATATTTGAAACCTAATGGCCAGAATTTGCCAAATATAATGAAAGACATCAAACCACAAATGCAAGAAGCTCAAAGAATATAAAAAAAAAAAAACAAAAATACAATAAGTTACATACACATAGACACACAGAGAAAATTCTGAAGCTAGAGAAAAGAGGCATATTACACAAAGAAAAACCAAGCATCACGTCATGCTTCTCGTCAGAAACTATTCAAGCCAGAAGACAATGACGTGATGAATTCAAGTGCTAGGGGAAAAAAAACCCCTGCCAATCCAGAATTCTATACCAATGGAAATACTTTTCAAAACATTTCCTGAGACAAACAAAAACTGAGAGAATGTATCATTAGCAGTCCTGTACTACAGAGACTGTTAAAGGGATTCTTCAAGCAGAAGAAACATAAAAACAGAAACCACCTCTCTATGAAGAAATAACGAGTGCTAGAGATAGTAAAAATGAAGGTAAATATAAAATAGATTTGTCTTATTTTTACCTACTCTAAAAGACAGTTGTCTCTTTAAAGGAAAAATAGTAACAATGTATTGTGTTGACAGCATATGTAAAAGTGATAAAATTCATAACAACAATGGCACAAAGAATTAGAGACTGGGAGTAAACCATCATAAGGTTCTCACACTACAAGTGAAGCAGCACACTATTTCAGTGTAGACCGTGACTGATTAAAGGTGCCTATTACAAACACTAGGGCAACCACTAAAACTCTGAAAAAGAAGTAAAACAACAAGCCAATAGTAGAAATAAAATGTAATAATAAAAAATAATGCAAAAGAGTAAAGAAAAGGATAAAAGAAAAATCAGATGAAACAAACAGGAAACAACTAGCAAGATGTCAAGTTTAAAACCAATTGTATCAATAATTAACATTAAATGTAAACTGTCTAATAGCGCCAATAAGAGACAGAGAACACAGACTGGATAAAAAAGCAAGACCAAACTAAATGCTTTCAACACAGAAAGACATTTTAAATAAAAGACACAGGTTCAAAATAAAGTATGGAAAGAGATGCATCATGTAAATATTAATGAAAAGAAACCTGGAATGGCTATATTAATAAGAGGCACAAGAGACTTCAGAACAATGAATGTTATCAGGGATAAAGAGGGAAATTATATAAAGGGGTCAATTCACCAAGAAGACACAACAATCCTAAATGTGTTTGCACCTAGAGCAGAAATTAAAAATAGATGAACAAGAACTTCTGATTCCCAACAAGATAGATTAGATTCGTTTCTCTTCTCATTTCTCATATTTTTCCCCACTAAGTATGACTTAAAAACCCTGGCTACAACAGACAATGAGAAGAGAACTCTGAAAGGTAGAAGGACCGGCTAAGGACCTCAGAATTTGAGGAACACCACCATGGTGAGTTCCCTGGATTTTCTTTTTATCTTCTGTATATATCCCAGACTGGAACTCAGAACCACTAACACGTACAGAAAAAAAAAGCCCCAAGAAAAATCTATTTTCTCTAAGCAAAGGACTGTGAAAAGCAGAGATCAGAAACCTTTCTGACAATAGCTGACCAACTCCAGCCAAACACTGCTGCTGCTCTCAGCTCCTGCAGTATCACCAGAGAACAAGACGGGGTGTGGACTTCCAGCCCCACATCCACCCAGCAGGAGCAGGAGGCCTGAGGCAGGCTTTCCTCTCCCGCCAACGCAGCGTCAGTGGAGACCCAGTGAGGAGCCTAGACTTCTACCTCTACCCAGCAGTGGCAGGTGGCACCCTCACCCTTTAACTAGTGATTAGAGGAAGGATCTCAAAGAGAAGAACCCTGGAGAAAAGCATTCTTTAAACCTGCACAGGATATCCTGGACACACCCCTGAACAACTCACATGTGAAACTGTCTAGAATTAATATGTCAAAGGTTTGCAAGCTGAACCACAATGTGGAATACCAGGTGTACAGAGTGGCCCCCACGTAGAAATTAAATGACACAGACAAGAATAACACTGCAATGGCTCTGAAAACTAAACTGTCATTAGAACCACAGCCCAAGAAGTAGGCCAGG